CATTGAACATAAAATTTCCCTTGAATTATAAAGAGAGAAAAATGAGGTTCGGTTACACTTTTAAATGTTGAAAGTGCATTACTAATGTCTTTTGTATTAACATGCTGATGCAAAACATGCAAATGCAGACACATTTATAAGCAGTGCACTTTTCTGTTAATCAGTCTTGTATCAGCATTCTTTAGAAGATCTCCACTGATCACAGTGGAGACTTGAAGCATATAAAACATGCAATGAGGTTATTGAAAAATTCATTCCAAGACTACAAATTAGTTCAAGTACTATAAATTCTTCTCATTATTAAGAAAAAAACATATTTCTTTGCATGGATGATGGAAGCAAAACTAAATAGTATGAATCTGCAAACCAGAATCGTAAATTGAGAACACCTTTTTATTATTTTCAGCATAATCTACATCTTTCTACATCTTTAAGTTTTAATATCCTGTTCCTCGGCTGTAGAGAAAGTTACTTCCTTATTCAATCTGATATAGGAATATTGCCACTAATTAATGAAAATACAGTAGAGTCTGGCTTGTCCAACATAAATAGAATGTTGGATAAGCGAAAATGTTGGATAATAAGGAGGGATTAAGGAAAAGCCTATTAAGCGTCAAATAACATTATGATTTTTCAAATTAAGCACCAAAACATCATGTTTTACAACAAATCGACAGGAAGCAGTTCAATACATGGTAACGTTATGTAGTAATTACTGTATTTTTAAATTTAGCACCAAAACATTGCAATGTATTGAAACAGTTGTGAATCCGGGTGGGAGGCAGACTGCATTGGATAATACAGAATCTTGGATGAATGAAGGACAAAAGAATTGGATTTTAGAATTAGAAGAGTGCCTTTATAAGGGGAATGGTGTATAAAATAGAGAAGTTGAAACTATCAGGCAAAGAGTGCAGCTCATAAATTAGGTATTGCCATTGTATGTGTAGCATATGTTTAGTGGGGGGGGGGGTATCTGGAATAGTTGTCGTGAGGATTATTGATTTAGATTGCGTTTTGTTAGCTGTGGTAGTATTTTTATACTTAGGAAAATAGCTGTATTGTTTTGTTTTTGCGGTTAGGGATACTGTTTTTTACCTTTGTGTATTTTGTATTGTGGTCTTTTCAGACTTTTAGATTCTAGGTAAAAACATTTTTAAAATTAAGCATCATAAAAGATTGTTACGACCTTCAGTATTTTAAATTCTTGGTTTTTAATTGCACCATTATCTGTTTGTCATTTCTGTATTGCTAACTTGATTTAATTTTGTAAAATGCCATACAACACTGATCAAAAGTGATGTATAATATTTTAAGACCGAAAACCACAGCTATGTTGAGAAGAAGAGGAAGCTCTATACCCATTCAGCTTCCCTATTCAATATTTACTGAACGTAAGCTCAAAGCCAGGTATGAGACTATTCCTCCATGCACTCTATACACTATATGAATTGCCTGGCTATATTTCAGAATTTAACAACCTCTGCAATTGGAGAGTAAAAGCATCAGCTTTAAATAGTTGTTTTGACAATAAATGCTTAAGATCAATTGACTATTCTAGAGCATAGAACCATAAAAAATCACATTATTTTGATTAGTCAGTTCCAGGTTCACACATTCTATTGAGAGAACTTGTTCATTCTGATGAAAGGTAATAAACAATTTTTCTAAATCAATGGATCACAAGACACCAATATACCATGAGGAGTAAAAAAAAAATCCCTCCCCTGTCCCAATGTTATTTATTGAGCAAGTAATCTATCAACATGGAACTTAACTGGTCCAGGAAACAATGCTTTGGTTTTCCTATTCCATCACCCTCCCAGAAGGTTCTGCATTCAGATTTTTGATTACTTATGCTAGGACTAAGATCAGCGATATATTGACACCGGATCTTTTTACTTATATATTGACACTGGATCTTTTTTTTTTCTTGACTCCATCCTGTGGCACGAAGAAACACAGATAAATGCTGCATAATTTTTCATCTTCAGGATCGTGAATAAGACCTTGAGTAAATCTAATAAACAATCTTTATTCTTCTTCATTTAGTTAAGTGCAACGTGGGATTTAATTGCTGAAGCATTTCTGTACTATGTAGTAACATTTTGAATAGAGGATAAAATATTTTTGTTTAGAGTTGCTTTGTTGTTTTCTGAAAAAGCTATCTACAATCAATAATAATAATATATAATAAATAAAATCAGCTGGTGAGGATCAGCATCAATTTGGAAATTAGCTGTTCACCGAAATAACTACTATTTTATTTATTTATTTATTTATTTCAGGTATTTTTACCCCACCCTTCTCACCCCCAAGGGGGGACTGATTGGGTTCACAAATAACTAATTTATGTTACTGAAGAATATTTATGTTATCTGAAGGGAAAGTTCACTGAGTACAGTGAGGCTAACAGGTTTTGAATTGTACTGTTAAATTTCAAATAATGTGGTAAATAATAGGACATCTGCAATTGTGTTAGTTGTATTCCAGGAACAACTAAATTACTATCCCAAAATATTTAATATTTCCTCTTCATGCCCAATTAACCATTGCTCAAAGACAGAGAACAGTAGTTTTGTCAATATAGGAATATATTTTGTATAGCTGTATGGATACACACACAATGGCACTATCTTTCAATGGTGTTGGGATTCCATGCTTATGTAAAATAAGAGGCCATGCTAATGGTACACGTCTGCTGGTAAGTTCTCCTATGTCAAACAAGCTTATACTGAGGAGTCAGATTAAATGGGCTGAATAATGTGGGGGTTGGGGTGACACTGACAATGGCACCATTCAATGGCAGTGGCATCATAGCTAACATTAGTCCATTATGAAGAACCAGTGATAAACTATACTTGTAACCTTTTACTATGAAAGTTCTATTATGAAACAGTACAAAATGAAACAAGAAATAGTGCCAGAAGATGAGTGCTTTGCTTGTGTGTTCCTTCATAGCAGGAGGTTGAACTGGATGGCCTTTGTGATCTCTTCCCTCTCTATAATTTTATTTTTTATTTTTTATAAAACTCCCAGGTCAGAATGGACTTTATGAAGTACTGTGGAAGGACGTAGAATAACTAGAAGTAGCACTATGGCTAATGCCACAACTGGACCCAAGCCAAAAGGAAGTTCAGCTTTTGACATGCTCAGAGATAAAAGCAAAGTCTAAGCACAACACATAGAGACATGAAATGTCAGAAACGTGAACCAGGGGCAGTTAGACACTGTAAAACAAGAAATAGAATGTATAAACATGGCAATACTTGAGATGAGCAAGCTAAAATGGAAAGTAATGTGACATTTTGAGTCAGATAATTACACATTGTTTTATTTAGGAAATGCACAGATATACTAAGACTCCCAAGATCTTTTTTACCTGTACTGTTATCAAGCCAGGCGTCACCCATCCTATATCTGTGCATTTAATTTTTTCTGCCAAAGTATTTTATCTTACATTTCTCCTTGTGGAACTTCATTTTGTTAGTGTTTGCTCAGCCCTCTAATCTGTTGAGGTCTTTTTGAATTCTCATCCTGCCTTCTGGAGTATTAGCTATCCCTCCCAATTTGGTGTCATCAGCAAACCTGATAAGCACACCCTCATAGCCAAGTTAACAAGTCAGACAAAAGATCAAAGCACTCCGAGTTACTCTTCCAAAAGTGTCACTTGCTAAGTCGCTTTCATTTTACAGAGGAGGTGACAGTTTACATTATGGATTTCCTTCCCTAAGGACACTATCAATTGAAGATTTTTTTTTTCTGGAAGGTGTATAAAACTGCTTCCTTAAGGAGAAGTAGCCATTTACCCTTTCCTAATTTATGATTTCTTGCTGGAACTTACTAGTTTAGTAAGGAATATGTGCAATTTGACTATGGATTGGCCTTTAGACTACGACTCTGGATGATGTATTTTTATTATGCTTATTATGTTTTAATGTTTAACTTACGTTTTAACTGATGTATGTTTTAAGGGACCATGGAGGTGCAATTGTAAGCCGCCTTGAGCCCCCCTCAGGGTAGAGAAAGGCGGGATATAAATAAGGCAAATAAATAAAGAAATAGCCAGGAGGCACACATGTCTATGTGAGTGTTTTCTGGAAAGGGAGGAAATTAAAATCTATGTGTAGCTACTTTCAGAGTCAGCAACTGCTTCTGTCTTGAGAAATATACTAACATATTTGCTTTAATTTCATTTTAATAGTTTTAATGAATCTGTTCTTTATTGGCCTACATTCTGTTCTTCAATAGCAGATAATCAGAAGGTACAAACATCATTGAATAATACATTTAAAAAATGCTAGGCACAGCACCTAGCAATTGGACCTGAACACTACAATCTTATTATTTGCAGTATTGTCAAACAAGCAAATTCTTCCAGTAAAGAAATACTTTTTTCATGATTAGATTTAATTTGACAGTTTAAAAAACAACAGAAAGTAAAAAACTGTTTCAGAAAAGGAGCAAAATGCATCCGTTTGTTATCTTCTGGGGGCTAGTACTAAGCAATTTTGTAAGTTCTTTTTAACACTTGAATTTATGAGTTTTCCTGATCTATCCAGTGATTCCCTGACACTGTGATCTTTATGCTGAACATCTTTTCCCTCATCCCCCCCTTTTTTAAATTAAAACAAGTACAGTACTCCATATCTGTGGAGGATACATTTCTGAACTTACTGTAGAAACAGAAAAACATGGAAAACAGTGAGCCCTATTAAAGTGAATAACGTCTACCTGAAGTCACCAGGTAGTGGAATTTGCTAGGAAGACCTAGAGAGGCATTCTCTTTAGGAATTTGCAATCTCCTCCTACTGTACTCCTTTTGCCTTTCAGAGGAGCAATTTGTGTAGGTAATATCCTTATATGCTTTTGCCTTCTCCTTCAGATTGAGCAGGGAAGTTTGGGTACCTCGGAGAGATTCTATGTTTTTATGTACAGTACCAAATTACTTAGTATGTCATACCTCTTCTTCTAATATGTTGTCCTTCTTTTCTCTCTAGGCCTCAGAGTAACTGTGCTGTTAACATCAGCCCTCATGGTGGTAGGAGCTGGCCTGAGATGTATACCTGTATCAGACAAAGAGAAAAGGAAATTGTAAGAGATTGGTTCATTTATTTGTCTTTTTCTGGGGGCAAAGTTTCAATTATCTTATCAGTAGGATAACTGAGTCTTGAAATACAAAGGCAGACTTGATAAGTAGTGAATGTTTAATCAAATGAAAATACAAATAAGTTATTTCAAAGTGTAAGCCATGCTGTTTATTCTTATAGATAACTCTCTGATCATTGCTAATACATTGCTAACACATGTTTGGGGGAGGGAGGAGAGCCCTCCCCCCGGCATTTTGTCTACTTCAACAGGCCATTCTCAATTATTAATTGTAAAAGATTCTATATGTTCCGAATGTTTAATAAATAGAGGTACCTATATATCTGTATATCTCTCTCTGTGTATGTATATGTGTGTGTATATATAATTTTATATATGAATTTTCCCCTCACATGTTTGCATGTCCTTGCAAATTTTATATATATATATATATATATATATATATATATATATATATATATATATATATATAATTATCCATATAGAGAGAGCTTTCTAGATAGAAATATATGAATATAGATATATTGGGTTTGCAAATATTACATGGAGGCAATGCAAACACAAATATAGATAGACATGTCTAGATAGATACGAATATAGATATATGGGGTTTGCAAATATTGCAGGGAAAACACACATATACAAGAGAGGATTTGCAGACGTTTCAGGAGGAGATGCATATGTGAAATTAGTATATACAATTATAGGTCTATATCTAGCTCTGCATTGGTTATATAGGCATTGAATATTCGCCTGTTATTATGTTGGAAGCTGGCCTGAGTCCCCATGGGGGGAGAGGGCGGGATACAAATGAAGTTCTATTATTATTATTATTATTATTATTATTATTATTATTATTATTAAGTTATTGTCAATACCATATTGTTTTTGTTGACCCTACTTTTCCACTTACAGGATTAGTTTACTGTTTTTCTCTGAAATACGGTAAATATTCAAAGGCATTTAACCTAGTGATGCCTCAATTAATGCAATTTTATTGATATCTATTTTTATTTTTAAATGTACATGCAGCTACTGCATTTTGCACCCAAGGCTTATACTCAAGTCAATAAGTTTCCCCAGTTTTTTCTGGAAAAATTAGGTGCCTCGGCTCATATTCGTGTGGACTTATACTCGAGTATATGCGGAAATTCATTTCAAAAGCTTTAAAACTCTTCTGCCTCATCTGTGTAGGTGCAGGAGAGAGCATGGCTTAATGGAAACTCTGGAGGAGGCTGAAACAATATTTCAGTACGATCTTGAATATAACAATTTACCAATAGATGGGAGCTAAAGTGTAGAGACCTTTAAGTTTCTGGAGTGTGACAATTTTGTTTTCCTAGAATCAACTGTGAATCAATCTACAAATACTCTGCAAGCCACTTCGATAGAGATTGTTCTGTTGAAATTCTTTTAACTATTCCGGTTTGGTATCAGAGGTTTTGCTGTTTCTCAATGTTATTTTTCACTAATAAATTATTTAGTATGAAGCTTAGTTTATTTTTTTTAAGTGAAGTAATTATCTGAAAGACATTTGTAGTTTTCTTTTTAGCTCCTGTTCTATCTCCTCAGTAATCCAACACTTGTCTTTCCTTTGTCATACACATGCTTTGTCAGGACAAGGAAAAACGGGGCGCCTAAAAATGCCTGTCATTTCCAAAGTAGTTTTCATATCTATTAACACTTTCAGACTCCTTAGAGCAATGGTTCTCAATCTTTGGTCCTTCAGATGTTTTGGACTTCAGTTTCCACAATTCCTAACAACTGGTAAGCTCACCGGGATTTCTGGGAGTTTAAATCCAAAACACCTTAAAGATCAAAGGTTGAGAACAATTGGCTTAGACTAGTGGTTGTCAACCTGAGGGTCCCCAGGTGTTTTGGCCTACAACTTCCAGAAATCCCAGCAAAAACATCTGGGAACCCACAAGTTGAGAACCACTGCCTTAGATTAACCTTTTGTGCCCCGTAGGTGTCTTTTGAAAGCCTCCAGAAAATACAATTCACATAAATGTTGTTCAATTCCTGGGGGAACAAAATTGGCCACCTGACACACACTGTGTTTCTGTCAACACAATAGAAACATTTCCCCCCATCTGGCTTCATTGTCTTCATGTAGAATAAGTGCCATCATGCTTAAAAGGGTGGTTCATTCCTGTTTCTTTTAATGTAAGCATACAGATGTGTACAGAACGACCACAATAGAGCAATGCATGGAATGAAAGATCTTAGTACACTTGTCCGTGTTTTGTATAATGGACTTCCTTTTACTTTCCTTTGCTTCTCAATTATTTGCATACCATCCTCCAAAGTAGTTTCCTCATTATTGAAGCAGATTTGGAGATCCTTAGGATGTGGGAAGGAAGAGCAATATACTCTGCTGAAAGAGTCTGTTCTTGTTGTGCATGGTCACAGTTGGATACAATCTATTCCTCATAATGGCCTATTTGGCTGCTTGCACTGTAGGAATAGTATCTGCTGTTTGTACAAAAGTCTTCTAAGCAGAGACCCCCCATTTAGCTATATGAATGCCCATCATGTCAAATGGAACATGATTTCCCTGCTGTGATGTAATAGGACAATTTAAGAAATGTACTTCTACTTTGATGATGGCTTGAATTTGAAATGCATTATATTTGTTGTTATTATATGCCATCAAGTCAATTCAGCTTATGATGACCCTGTGAATGAGAGCTCCAGGAAACACATTATTAAGACCCCTGCTCAGGTCTTGAAGGTGCAGGACCATGACTTCCTTGATTGAATCTAACCACCTGGGATATGTTCTTCCTCTTTTCCTATTGTCTTCTACTTTGGCAGGCATTACTATCTTTTGCAGTGAGTCATATGATGTCACCACATATCCAAGGCAGATCAGGAGACAAAGATGGTTCCTTGCATTGCTTTTTTAAAGAAAGCTGCTATAAGGGCTGGCCTTCCTCAGGGACTACAATAAAAAGTACAAACATAATTCCATTTAACACATTAACAAGGACAACACAAAATAAGTTATATTCTCTAAAAACATATAGAATGCATTATTCTACATAGCATGCATGTTCCTACCTTTATTCAGAAATTTCTAGACTTGTGTAATAACTCAGCTTACTTGTCGTATCTTCTACAATCATTTTTATATCAAAGGCTATAAATTGAAATCTTCATTTAAACCTGTGGAAGAAATAAGTCAACATACAAGGAAACTGTATTAAAGATCACTGAGACCCATTTCAGAGGAATCCTTGATTCTTCTTTTCTCTCCAGAATACCTGAGTTCATGTATCATCAAGGGGTGATAGTCTCTACTATTCAGGATTTAATAGTCTTTTAAACTATTTATTTATGTTTATACTATTGTGCTATTTTGTTTTTATTAATTGATATGTGATTATTGACTGTGTTATGAGCCACCCTGAGTACCTTCGGGGAGAGGGGGGCCGGATATAAATAAAGATTATTGTTTTTAATATTATTATTAGTTCACTTTGCTTATTGGTGTATTTCTTTGGAGAATGTATACTTCTTTGAAATATACTGAAATTTGGTGGGGGTTTTTAAAACTGAAATTTGGTGGGAGTTTTTTTTTTAAAACAAATCAAGTAAGTGACTATCACAGTAGTTCCCAGCCTTTTTTTGATCAGGTACCAGTTTGACAAGGGACCACTCTCCAACATTTTACCAAAAGGGTTACAAATCTGTTTTTGGTCAACTTCAGATTTTGTTTGGTTATTTGGGGTGCCGATTCAGAAAATTGCATTAGATAGACCATATCAGCTCTAGTTTCTGATACAGGACATAGGCCATCCAGTACTCACATCTGTTCACCCACAGAAAACCATAATTAATAAGTCTTGGCACTATAAGAGGTTTTGTGAGATCAGTTGCTCTCATTGCAACAGTGTAGTAACAGTGAAACAGCAGACCATATTTTAGTTCTTGAGGACCAGTGGTGGTCCACGGGCCAGAGATTGGGAACCACTTATCTATCAACACAGGGAACTTTGTCTCTTGATTTGCTTTGACTTTTCATATGTGCTCCTCAGTTCTCTCCTTTTGAATAGTGTATGTTAGCCTCATTTTAGATGCTTCTAGAGAGAGTTCAGGCTTGATTTGTTCTAGTGCTCATTTATTTGTCATTTTGGTAGGAGATGGTATATGTTGTGAATCTGGCTTTTCCTGCCATTTTTCATTATTGTCCAGCTTTCTTCACTGTCCATCATTTATATCCGTCTATAGAAATACTGTATCATGGATAATTTTGACTTTGGTGTTCAGTTATATGTTCACAGTTGGGGATTTAATCTATTTTCAGTTTCCTCTGATTTCTTTACTACATTCTCCAGCCAAGATACAGAAAATCTCTAACAATGTCAATTTCATTATAGTCCACTTAAGGCAGGTAAATCTTTGGCCATCATTTTTGTTTTCTTTATATTTAGCCATAGCCTTTCTTTTGCACTTTAAACCATTGAATATAAAAGCTTGGATTTGAAATGAATTGTGACAGAATAAGAAATGTCATATGGAAGATGCAGAGAATGCTTGAGCCAAGTCTCTTAGCAATTTTAGCTGGACACTTTTAAAAATAGATATCCGATTTACACATGCAGATTTGACAGCTGGAATCTCAGTATCAAGCTGTAGCCTGACTCCTGTGAATAAAATAAAATAGTAGTAATGAAATATATTTCAACAGTTCTGAAAAAAAGAATGCAAGTGGAAATTAATCTTTTATCAGGAAATAATTCAGGGCTCATTTAATTTTTACTTTTTGAAGAGAGGTTTAACAGTTGTGGGCTTAACAGTTACCACATAAGAGTTCCATCAGATAAGAGGTTGGAACAACTCCCCTGTTAGAGGAAAAGTTAAAATCTTTGTGATAGCTTGAAAAAAAAAACCCAAATTTTAGCAGTGTCTGAAATTATGCATAATGTGATGAAAATGAATCACGTAGTACTGTAGCTTGATACCATCAAATGAAAATGAGT